AGTCTTTTTAACAGTCGAAATCATAAAGCTACTATTAAATATAGCAGCTTTGTGTAGTTCAGGTGGGGAGCTGCGTCTGCATGCGTAGGCTGCAAAGGAACAAGTGATAGGTTTATTCCAAATGAAAAGAGAAGAAGGAAAACGCAACGTTTTGGCTGTGGAGCCTTCTTTGGGTGTGAGGTTACTCACAGCCAAAACGTTGTTTTCCTTCTTCTCTTTTCAGCATGGAATGAACCTATTACTTGTTCCTATAGTAGCTTTATTACTATTTTAAAATATTTTTTAAAAAATGTAGACATTTTCTCTAGGAAGGTTTGCACTTGTGTTTTTTAACTTTAAATAATGTGCGAGAACGTTTGCCCTCTTGCTGGGCGGTTTGAGTTATTTCTGGATTTCTGAGGGCCCGGTAGCTTCGTGTGTCCAGGAGATCTCCAGGTGGCGTGGTGTTCTGTAGTTTCAAGCCTGGCTTGAGGACCTGCGGTCAGGTAGCCCTGCAGCCCGAGGCTCTGTTCGTACCAGGTGGCGTCTCAGCGTGGTTTCTCTGTCTGGGCTCCTGCTACAGGGGCGGGCGCTGCCAGCGGCCAGCCGGAGGGGATCCTGTGGACGTCGGCGCTGGACAAGAAGGCGGAGGACTCTCTGGGGGAGAGGAAGGACAAGCCCTCCTGGAAGAGGTTAAAGCACCTGCACCAGGAGAAGGTAAGGAGATGACGGCTGACCTTTTCACCAGCCCCGGGCTCTGTCTCAGACACGTGAAATACACCGGGCGCCTGTCGGGCTCTGTGCTCCAGGTCAACCGCCTCCGGCACCAGAACCGGATCAACGTCCGCGGCACCGACGTCCCCGACCCCGTCGCCACCTTCGCGGAGCTGGCGGAGGAGTACCAGGTCGACCCGCGGCTCATCCAGAACATCCGCGCGGCGGGGTTCCAGACGCCCACCCCCATCCAGATGCAGGCCATCCCCCTCATGCTGCATGTGAGTTCTCTGCGCCCCGTCCTGCGTACAGCTCCCCCCTCCATAACGCTGCATTCCCCCGGCAGTAATCCAGGGGTACAGGGGTACTTCAGCTCTGATCTGCGCTGCCCTTCCTGTGCTGCACACTATGATTTCTCTCTGTGCTCTCATGACTTTTTCTTTGTTTTTCCACTTGGAACATTTAATGCAATGCTTTCCAGACTGCAAATGCCAGGACAGATAAGATAAGATCACTTTATTGGCCATATACAATTTCTTGCATTAGGAATTGGTCTTTTTGCATACCATGAGACACAGACAGGGAGAGAGAAGCTTGGGGTCAGAGCTCAGGGTCAGCCATTTACACGGCGCCCCTGGGACAGTTGTGGTGAAGGGCCTTGCTCAGGGGCCCAGTGGAGTAGGATTCCTCTGCCGGCTGCAGGATTCGAACCGGCAACCTCCCAGCCACAGTGCTACGCCACACCGCCCAGCCCAATCCCCCAGTCTGGCTGGATCTATGCTGCTTGCACACTGAGCCTGGCTCAGAGGGGAGATTTGTGTTCAGGGCTGTGTCTGAGCAGGGGCCGGTGTGGTGCCGCGTGTCCGCGCCTCTGTTTGAAGCCGCCCCGCCGTTTCCTGTCCCGCAGAACCGGGAGATCCTGGCCTGCGCGCCCACGGGCTCCGGGAAGACGGTGGCCTTCTGCCTGCCTGTCCTCGCCCACCTGCGCAAGCCTGTCAACAAAGGCTTCCGGGCTCTCGTCATCTCCCCCACCAGAGAGCTGGCCAGCCAGGTGAGTGTTGCCTCCTGACTAGTTCACCCCGCTGTCGCCGAGTGAGTTCTTAAAAAGCATTTTGTGTAACTTCCTGCAGCTCGTACAGCCTTTTGATTAGCTGCTGCAGTATCCCTAGTGAAGTTCTGAAATGAAGGGGGTACTGTGCATTAACAGGGCACGTTCGCGGCTCGACTCCAAGCCCAGGGTGACTGACGTGTAACCCACATTCCCTGATGGTTTTCTTAAGGTCTGCTTCTCTCTTGTTTTATTATTCCTGAACCATTCCCTTCACCCAGCTGTCAGGCACGAGCTGTAAAACAATTCAGTGATTTCAGTGCCACCTTCGGCTTCAAGCACTCAGCACTCTGAGACTGGGCTGCAGTTTGAATTGGTTGCCTGCCGTGTTGAGTGGGGGGCCTCTGTACTGGTGAGCAGCGCCACAGTGGGCTCCCAGCAGGCTCCAGGCTCCAGGCCTGGGCGGTGTGGGTCGTGGGGCACGTTTCAGTGTGTTTTGCGTGTCCATGTCTGGCAGACCTACCGAGAGCTTCTCAAGCTGTCCGAGGGAGTGGGCTTCCGGGTGCACATGATCCACAAAGGAGCTGATGCCGCCAAGAAATTTGGACCCAAGTCTGCCAAGAAATTTGGTAAGCCTGGCTTGGGAGCTATAGCACAGGGGAACACATGGAGAGTCTGGGTGTTTGTTTCTTTGCACAGGCTAAGTCACCTGACTGCTGGCTCCTTAATCCATTTTGGTGGATGCTGACCCAGTCATGCACAAGAGGTTTCATCGACGAGCTGATTAATCTGCTGTTTTCCAGAACACTGCAGCTTTGAGTGCTTGAAGGTATTGAGAGGAACTGTTAAGACATTTAGGTTGGCACAGTGGCCCAGTGGTTAGCATTGATGTCTCACTGATTCTGGGGCCCTGATTTCAATTCAAGACCTGGGGTGTGGAGTTTGTATGTTCTCCCCGTGTTCATGTGGGTTTCCTTCAGGTGCTCCAGATTCCTCCCACAATTCAGGGGCATGCCTTGAGGTGAATTGGCTTCCGGGAAACAGGCCCTGGTGTGACTGTGTGTGTGTCCGTGTTTGTATCTGCCTGCCTTGTGATGGAATGGCGTCCCATCCAGGGTGTTACCTGCCTTCTGTCCACTGCATGCTGGGATAGGCTCTGGCTCCCCCTTGACCCTGGATTGGAGGAAGTGGTTACAAATTGGATGGATGTTAAGATAATGAAGAATGCCATGTGTTTGTGCCAAATGGCCTTTTCACGTTTGTAACCATTCTTTTTAGTATGGATTTGATTGTTGGTCTTCAACTTGATTTTATTTACCCAGACATCCTGGTGACGACTCCCAACAGGCTGATTTACCTCCTGCAGCAGGACCCCCCGGCTGTGGACCTGGGCAAGTGAGTGTCTCTGTGCCCTCCCTGCTGACTGGTTGTCTTCAAGCCTCATGATCACGTAGCGCTGCTGGCTCGCAGCAGAGTTCGGGGGTCTTCGAAGGGGTGCCTAACCATGTGATCCAGGGTTCCGACTAAAACTGCTAAATTAGTGGAGGACCTTAAATAGGAGTGCCTTTGCTGCAAACTTTTCTACAAAAAAACAAGTACTTTTTCATTTGATTGTATGAAGGCGGCACTGCAAGAAGTGCTAAGCCCAGGCTCTCTAGCGACTCGGGTAGGTTTTAAACTTGGGCGGGTTTGGAGATGCTGGGGCGCCTGCGTTCAGTGTCCCTGTGTTTTGCGGTGCAGTGTGGAGTGGCTGGTCGTGGACGAGTCCGACAAGCTCTTCGAGGACGGGAAGACGGGCTTCAGGGACCAGCTGGCCACGATCTTCCTGGCCTGCACCTGCCCCCGGGTCAGGAGGGCCATGTTCAGCGCCACCTTCGCCCCCGACGTGGAGCAGTGGTGCCAGCTGAACCTGGACAGCATGGTGTCCGTCTCGATCGGCCAGAGGTGCGTGCCTCGTTGGGGCACTGGAAGGTCCCAAATGAGAGGGAGGCCATGTGGCCCATCTAGGTGGTTAGCAGTAGCTCATTGACCCAAGGCCCTCTTATCCAGGTGTTTCCTGAAAGAAGCCGGGGTATCTGCGTCAACTGGATAACTGGGCAGCTTGTTTCAGAGCCCCAGCTCCCTTGTCTCTCCCTCTGCCCTTCTATGACAATTCCCTATGTGCTGTTACTTATTTTTTGCATCGCTGCTGACCATGTGGTCTTTTGGCGGATCGGTGGCTCTGTGGCTCAGGATCTGCGCCTGTGGCTGGGAGGCTGCCGGTTCGTATCCCACGGCCGGCAGAGGAATCCTACTCCGCTGGGCCCCTGAGCAAGGCCCTTCACCCCAACTGCTCCTGAGGCGCTGTATAAATGGCTGACCCTGCGCTCTCACCCCCAGCTTCTCTCCCTGTCTGTGTGTCTCATGGAGAGCAAGCTGGGGTATGCGGAAAGACAAATTCCTAATACACTAAATTGTGAAAGTGATCTTAAATGGAATGTAAACGTGTTTTAGGAAGAGTATTATTTAACTTCTTAGGTGCAGTACTGAGCTGAAGAGCCTTGCCACTTAACCTCAGAGTCTGATTTAAAAGCGACTGGCTAGATCCATCCTTGCTTTAGTGTAGCCTCAGCGTGCAAGATTTTATCCCGGTCCTATGCCATCTCAGAGCAGAGAGTTTTCCCCAGTCCAGCGTCGGGCTGCTGTGTCCTGGTGAGCAGGGAGTGTGGAGCGGGTCTGCTGATCTGCCTCTGTCCCCGTGTCCAGGAATTCGGCCGCTGAGACGGTGGAGCAGGAGCTGCTGTTCGTGGGCACGGAGAACGGGAAGCTGCTGGCGATGAGGGATCTGGTCAAGAAGGTGAGAGAGCCCAACCCGAGCCCGGTCAGGAGGTGATGTCCCGTGAGTTAGTGCACGCCATTCTCCTTCTCTCTCACTCTCTGCGCTGAGCACTCCTCCCAGCTAGGACAGGCGACAGGAGTCTGGAGGGAATTCTGTAGCTTTTATTTGATGCTGCTTCATCCACAGTTTAGAAGGTCAGACATTAGGGGAGGAACA